AGCCTAACTAAGAAGTTTATATATTTTAAAGTCATAATTGGTAAAAGTGATACAAAGGATAGTATGAAGAGTTGGCAGGACCTTCTGGCTGGCATGTGAACACACAGAAAGCCACTTAAGTGTCACTTAAGCAGTGGAGGAAACTGCACGACAATCTGATGACCACCAGAGGGCGCCACAGCTGGACGGACCTCATTAAGGTTAGCCGGCATCAAACCAGTGGATTTAATCACATGTGGTTTAAAGAGCGAGTTTGGCTCTGTGGGAGCGAGCGCGGTAAACAGCTTTACTACAACATGAAACATTAATATTACACAGGATGGTTTCTATTAAAACAGAGATGCTTTATTTCAAAGCTCTGGCTGTTTGTGGTCTGTTCTGTCAGATTCGTTGCAACCAACGCAGCCCAGTCTTCTTCATCTTAATAAACATCTCTGTTCAACATACAGGAGAGAAATGTGTCCAGCTGTGATGGCAGCACCCACTACCAAAAGTATGAAGTTTGAGGAATGCAACATTTTTATTGTTCTCAATTCTGTCAACAGTCTCTGATTATCTTGTTGGTTCCTCGTTTTTCCTTTATTTACATGTTTTTGTAAATATTTTCTGCTTTTTATAAATTCACAGGCTGATTCCTAAATCAGGGTGTTTTGGACAGATAGTTGTTTTAGTATCGTCAATAATATCCTCGAATATTACAATATAATGCTCGCATTTTTCTGGATGACTACCAGTCGCCCGGAGGAGCCCTGACCTTTGACCTGGAGCTAGTTTTTCCCCGACGGAACCCTTTGGTGCAGAAACTTTGGTTCCATTTAACTAGTAGCTAAGTGTAAAGAGTTCTCCCTGATGGACATACTGATGGACGATCAGTAATAGACACAAAACTATAAACCCGCAGCGGGACCATGTGGGTGGCCTCCTTCTGGACTGGGGGGTGGGGGGCAGACACATCCTCACCACATCAACAGAGAGGTTCTGGTTCTGATGACCTCAGTAGCTCCTACACATGAAGATCAATGAACAGATAATCTGTTATTAAACCTTCTGATCAGTCAGAGCTTGGTTCCATTTATGAACAATTAAAAAAAAGGAGGAAATCTTTTGGTAAATTTTGCCTTGAAGACGAAACCAGCTCCAATCTGAAGGGATTACAGATTAGGCTTAAAGTGGCTTAAATGTGTTCTACATATGGCCCGGTCCAGGTTCCCGCTGACCAGGTCAACCTGCAGCAGGACGTCACCATCTGGGGGAAACACTGAGTCTGCTTCTGATTGGTCGCTCAGCACCTCCGTCCATCGGCCACCAAAACCAGAAAAGCTGAAAGTGTTACCGTTTCTGGACAGGACGCCGTCATCCAGTCATCATCTGTGGCGCTGTCAGCTTACTGGGCCCGCTGTGGGCAAACTCCAGATAGACACAGCGGTTCTAGAACAGCTGGTTCTACCGGGGCGCTCCTGCAGAGCTCCCTCAGAGACCATGAAAGGATCCAGACAGAGAGCGGCCCAGAGTTCACCAGCAGAGCTGCGTCTGACTGTTAGCATGTAAACTGATGATGGGGCTCCTGGAAACCATTCCAGATGCTCCGCTTTGTTCCTCATATTCACTCAGTCTAGAACAAATTCTTTCTACTCTTCTTTAACAGCTCTCCACCAGAGCTGTGCTGCTCTGCAGCTCCTCCAGATCCCTATTCTTCTCTGACCAACATCCAAGTAGGCCATCTGGCCTTTTGTTCAGGTGTGTTGGGATGCAGGATGCATCCGAAAGCTGCAGGACTGTGGTTCTAGAGGACCCAAGCTGCAGGTTTATCCATTCTGAAGTAAATCAGAGCAGAAACGCCACCCTGACCCGTCAGCTGGGTTCCTGTGTAAAAGTTTTGAAAACCATTTTTTTTAAGTTTACAGTAGTGGCGTCCAAACATCTGAGATCAGAGAAAGCAAAGAGTCCATCCAGCGACCTGCTGGTCTGCAGCCCAGGTGGGGGTGTACAAAAGCTGCTGCCTCAGAATGGGAGGGGCACTGCTGCTACGCTTCTGTTTGCTGAAAACAGTGGAAACAGCAGCAACCAGCAGCAGTTGGGGAGGGGGGACGGTAAGCAGAGACTAACCCGTTTTCCGTTGCCTCCGGTTCAGCAGGTCGTTGACCGCCACCCTGAAGCGCTTGGCTTCTTCTTCGCTGGCAAAGTTCAGACCGACCTGACAGCTCTAAGGAAGAGAAGGAGGAAGAGGCGGCTGAAACAGAGCTGCGTTCAGGAAACATTGGCTTTGAAAACAACAAAAAAAAGGCTGAAACTTACGTCTCCTGCAAAAGTGATGAAGTAGGGCCTGGGGCTGCTGATGAAGAAGCTGTGGTAGAGCTCCTGTTCAAACATGGTTTTTCCTACCTGCAAAAAGGTCAAACAGGCTGTAGGTTCTGACCCACTGAGGGAGGGGGTCAAAGCAGGGACCAAATAGAGCAGCTAGGTTAGGTTAGCGTAGCTAAACTAGATCAAATACTAAAGATTTTCAGAGACATTTCAGAAAAACAAAGAATCTCCAAAGGGTGTTTTCTCCCAATAAAACCATCCAGTTCATCAACTTTCTTTATCTCCTTACAGTTTTTTTTATGTTTAAACTTTGTACAATGCAGCAGATGCTAACAGTTAGCATTCTTTCCTCAGTGTCCAGGAGAGAGACTAACCCTGAGCTTCAGGAATGAAGAAGCTTATTTTCTGCTTCTCTCAAACGATGTAACGTTTGTTTAAACGTTGAAGTAAAACCTTAATTCCTCATTCTCTCCTTTGATAACTTCAGATGTTTCTCCAGGCCTATTTTTCTCCACATGTGCTCAAAGTTGGGTTTTAGGTGGGAATCCCTCTGTGTAAATGAACTGTAATGAATAAGCTAAAAACTTGAGGGGAAAGACTCTGAATGTTCTAGGTTTCTATCTCTACAGAAAGAGAGAGAAGTGAACATCAAATAGTGTTCACTGTGTTAGCTTAGCATAGCATGGCAGGCTATTTCGTGAACTTGGCAGATGGTAAAGGATCAGGAAATGAAGGGTTCTGGGGGGATGAGTGGGTTCTGTGGTTTTGGAAGGATTAGTGGGTTCTGTGGTACTGGGAGGATGAGTGGATTCTGTCGTACTGGCAGGATGAGTGGGTTCTGTGGTTCTGGAAGGATCAGTGGGTTCTGTGGTACTGGGAGGATGAGTGGATTCTGTCGTACTG